TTCGCATTACTGCCATTCGTGTTATATATTCTTAGTTGCTTGAACACTTAGCTTTATCGTATGCTTTTTCTGTTACATCTGTTATAATTCCTTGCTTTTTCCACAGCTTTCTTAAGATGCACGAAATTTAAAATATAATCCCTTCAAACTATATTTCCAACAGCTGACTCTTGAAATGCTACTTGCTTTTAATCTTGTATGATGGTCTATAACTGGCAAAGCACTTCAGGACTAGGCAAGCAACTCTTGAAAAAAATTGCATGTAGGAAAATCCCTGGAAACTCTTCTAGAGTCTGGCAATTTTGTGTTCCAGAATCTAATTCAGTGCTTTTGAGTTTTACAAATGATTTCGGTCGCTTATGGGCCAGGCATTTTAACAAGCTCTTTGAATGAATAATCCAAGGAAGTGTAACTAACCCAACTTTAACAATTTCAAACGTAAAATGAATTACGTATCAGATCGGGAAATTCACACGCGAAATTTTAATTTGAATTGCATAGGGTATTTCTGCTAGTGAACGTAGTGCACATTTTCTAAGATGAGCTTATCTGATAATAGAGCTAGAATTTTTGAACTTGTGGAGCTAACAGAGCGCTTTGTAGCAGATTCGAGCACAAGAATGGAGGCTGTGAAGTGCTTTTATTGAAGGATTCAGCATGATATGCAGAGATATGATTCCAACTAGATTACGCCAAAATACTCCAAGGCCGTTAGTTTTGGCTTCTTTTGCACAATCTATTATGTTCTCTTGCCTTATTTGTAAATATTCTGTTAGGATTGAGTTCCTGTTGGCAAATTAACAGTAATATATGATAAAAATTTTCAATATTTCGAGGAAGCATTTCTCCCTAAACCAAAACTCTGCCGTGCTATAACATACTGCTTATCCACTGCCAACCTATCTCGGATTTTGAAATATGTTTACATCTTACGTCCAGAAATGTTTCGCAAAATTTGGATCGTATTTGCATGGAAGAAACATGAACATCATCGCATTAAAGAAAAATCAACTTTGTTGTCGCTAGGTTTAGAAAGTCCGTCGATTATACGAGAGTTGGGAATAATGTTGTTTAAGAGTAATTTACCCATTTTTACATTTTACTTGGGAAAACTGTTTAGCATTCTAAAATTATGTGAAAAGTTGTGTCAACCTTTTCATCCAATATCTGATCTTGATAATCTCTTACTTTAAATATATGACCATTTGGCATAAAACAATGGATTCTTTTGAATGACATGCTACATAGTGAAGTATTAAATGTCTAGAAAATTGGTTCCTTTAGTAAACGGAACAGTTACCTAGACAAACTACATGATACCTAGGTAATATTACTAAATGCAGTAACATTTTTCAGAATAGATTTATATCTGTATTCAGGAATATTCTCGAGATTTTCGACCATATTCATGAAATTGTATAATTACCATCGGTTTTTGTCCTTAATTTTATTATATACCAAACAGATTTATTGATGATAAAAACTCCATGCTTTAGCTTTTTATTTGTTACTTTTGAGTTAAGCGTTGATTGACTGAAAAGAACTAGTCTTTTAATTTTGAGAAATAGCTTGCAGCAAATTTTAGGCGACTTTGAGTTCTTTATGAATAAGGATTACAAGAAAGGCTAATATCACCGAAGACTTCGTTGTTCCTGGACGAATGAGTAACTAACTTCATATGCATTTGCGCCCTAGAGTGATCTTGAGATACCGTGGAAAAATTGATATCGCTGGAGAACCGCAGAGTTTGGCTTACGAAAACAAGTGCTACAATTTCTTCATACATACCAGTGACAAATGCAGCAAACTATTAATTTTTTCGACCACGACCGAAAAAGAAACCAGATGTTGTTCCATGCGCAAAAATTAATAGACACCTGCTGCTCCTTGAAATCTTATAAATAACAACTAGTTACCTTTAGAAAGGCCTACCAGCAACAGAGCAGTAAAATCGTTCAACATTGTAGTTTAACCCAGAGTCATATCCCGGCGAAGATGCTAGCTGGATGAGATGCTCGTACTTTTTTTACCCTTGCGTAATGTGAATATGAGCTAGTTTCCTTTAGAACGAAGGCATCCCTCCCTCTAGTTGGTTGGTTAATTTTTTTTAATGGCGCAAAACTTCGAGGGCTATTATGCTCCAGACAAATGGTGAATAAAATTAAAGATGCACAAACACACTCTATCAAATGAATTTATGAAATGAACCTGAAATGCTGATGAAGGCATGGAGAATGAAAAGCTCAAGCAACAGGTAGAGCAGGATAAAAGGAAAATAACTTCAAATAATATGGTAAAAAGAGATGTCGTTTAAAAATCTTATGAGGTTGATGTGGGAGTTTCTTCCAATGAGATGAAGGTATGGAGAAATGACTGAGAAATGCTGTAGCAACAGGTAGGGCAGGATAAAATGTAGTTCAAATCATATGGTAAAAAAGATGTCTTTTAAAAATCTTAAGAGTTTGATGTGAGTTTCTTCCAATGAGATCTGTTAACATTCGTAGAGTTAAAATAAAATTCACATTTCTGACTAAAACCAGGACAGCAGGTTAAAATGTGATTGACTGAAATGGGAACGTTGCAAGTGCCACAAATAGGAAAGGAGATAATCCTTTCAAAAGATGCTGATGTGTCAGTCTGCAATGACCAATTCGTAGGCGATTCCCTCCCTCTAGATAGTTTTCGCATGCTTTACCTTAATCCAGTGTTGGAATTTTCAACAGTTTGCTGTGTTGTGAAAGAAACTGAAGAATTGACTTAGAGCGGAGATGGATACTGTATTGGTGAAGACTTAGAAGAATTATGTACTTTATTCTTCCATTCCCATAATCTTCAAGCTTTGTCCATTGATTTAACTTGAAATAACGTTTTACAAGATCGTACTTTCGAGCTAAGTAAAAGACGCTAATAAGTTATTTCTTTGAAAAGTCGATTACTTTGTGTTACTTTGATGCCAGTACTTCTTGAATAAGTTTTGCATTGTTAGCCCCATAAGAATCGTCCGGAATCCCTGAAGTTAAACTTTGGTATAACGTTCCTTCGATTCCACTTTTAAAATTTTAATCATTGGTATATCCATAATTTTTTAATCTTATTTTGGTTCTAATATTGAGACGAGTGTGTGCTTGAGGCTATGTTCTCTGCAATAAACGGGATTTCATAACTAATTTATTAACAGAAAAACTGAACCGAATTTAACATTTGAGGGATGTATTAGAACTGAAATATCAAATTCGCTGCTTGAAACTGGGACATGAGAAATGAATTTTGTAGCAGGAAATAAATGCAATAGAATTTCCTTGGAAGTGTATCAATAGGGATATTGTAGTTTCCTCTGAAGATGTGCATGAAACAGCTACTCGCTTCCCGGGAACAGACACGGATCTTAGCTACTAGTTGCATGTACTAACCTTTTACACAGGGTTAAACTGCGCAATTTAGATTGATAAAAATATTGTCTCTTAAGTTTCGAGATTATTGATGTATTCCGTATTAAAATGCAAGTGAACGCCGAAAATGCTGCGTACAGGATATTTTGCTTATAATCCCTTTTACATTATCTGTACAATCAACATGCATACTGCAACCTACCAATAAAATGCTCTGTTTAATAAAGTGGTCAAAATTAATATCGCAATTTTACCATACTCTAAGTCTTTATAAACGAGCTCAAAAGTAACTTTTCTTGCGGTACACATTTTGCCTCAACAAAAGTGATTATTTTAACCTTTTAACTGTCATGCCCGAGATAATCTCGGGCACAGCACTGGTGTTCAAAAATGTCACGCCCGAGTATTACTCGGGGTAATTTTTTTTTTGAGTGCATCGTATTGTTATACAATTTTTTTTGTACACGATTTTATTTTGTACTAAACATTTGATTTTTGCAATAAAAAAATTTGACAATTTGTGTACCCAAATCATCAAAACTTGACAAAAAGGGTTAACCCCTTATTAAAGGAGGACCCCTTAGGGAAATAAAGGGTTAACCCCTTATTTCCCTACGTGACTTTAAAGTCCCAAAAATAAAATCTCTCAATTATGCCTCACGGTAATTTTAAGCCCCGGTTTTAAATTTTAAAAAAGCATTGGAAACTTGACAATATTTGTGTAAGATTAATGCGAGATGTTTCTCCTCATGCATAAAAAATATAATTAAAAAAATTTTAAGTTTTCGAAAACGTAAGTTGCGAAATAAAGGATTTTACGAGATTTTATAAATGAATACTTTCGCATGTAAGTTAAACTAGCGATAAATTTATAGGAAATAATTATGTAACACTGCATGAAATAGCATTCCTCTCTCGAATGTATAACGAAGTAAATTCGATAAACCCGTAATAACAAGCATGTCCGTTGATGAAGTACGAATTGACGACTCGGGCGAGAAAAGTGTCTGTTTGAAAACGCCTACTTTGGAAGCCATCGAAGCTTTTCGTTAAATTTAAACGAATGGACCAGATGGCAAAAGCTATTCTAAAGCAAGTTCAAGTGCTTTTAGCACGTGTTAACAAGTAAAAAATTGTCTAAAATGGGCATTTTAACGTGTGGTACGAAAGGTTTTAACGTGTGGTCTCTTAATTCAACTTTTTATCTCTTAACATAAATTACCATGACAAAAGTATCTGATCAAACTTTGTACGAGTTATCATCTCTGGCAGTGATATTCATCGAAATGAAATTATTTATCGTTAATGAACGGCTAAAGTAGTTGAACTGTTAAATAACGGTTCGGCTCTACATTGTGAATGATTTAGGGTGTCTTCGTGGCTCCTTGAAGGTTGTTTCGCATCAGATGCTCTCTGTTAAGTATACTCTCAGAGCAGCCCTGAAGGCTTTGTCATAACCCTTTGTTAGGTATACTCTCAAAGCAGCCCTGAAGCTCTTTGTCATAAAATACCATGTACATTATGAGCGTAAAATTATTCGTAGTATTTAAGATGTACGACTGATTTTAAGAGTGTCGTCTGACTTTAATTCAACTATTCTTCTCTTTTCAGGTTCATGGCTTCAAGATCCAGAAACTTGCCTCAATATCAATTTTGAGTTCATTTTTGTTTTACAGATTCAACATTTTAACACATGAACTTCTTTTGTTGCTCGATACGAAAGCCGTTTACAGTGATACATGTTCTTGCAGGAATAGTTTCTTTTAATTTGTTGTACTTTATGTATTAAATAATTGAAAATGCAAAATGATGCATTCGTCTATTTTTCGTTCCTCCCTGTACCACAAACTCAGTTTCATTATACGAACTTGTTACTATTGGCTGGTAAAGTTACACTGAATAAAACTCTATGTCGAGTGCCGATGTTGTATATAATAAGTTATTTAACACCGATTGTTCCGTGTATAATATGGCCGTAGAGGTTGATCTTTCTTTTAACCTCATACTTCTTGAATAGTTTTTACTCTTTCTAAAAGAGAAAAAGATCTTTCTCCGGATGCATTGGAAATTTGAACAGTCAAAAAATGTTTTTAAAATAGCTTCTGCATTAGGAAAAATTGATGAAAAACGTCGGGCAGAATGATAAACTTATGTGGAAGAACTAAATTTGTTTTCATCTAAAAATTATTACGCTCCATCAAAAAACTGTAGATATTTATATTACCTTTATAAATCTCTTAGCTTTTCTGCACAGGCATTTTTTATAATTTTCACAAATTTAAATTAAAGAATATTTTAAATTTTCTAGATTATTTTTATATATTTCCTTTCTGTGAACGAGTTCTGCACTAATACTGTAAGAAAACATTAAAAGAATAAATTTTTCTTTACAAGTAATAATCCTTGAAAGCTAGAATCGCCCTTAGTTTGAATGGCTTTCAAAATGTGGTCCATTTCGTAAGGAAAAAATGACTTCGACAGAGGTGATCCGATTTCAAGGATTGAATCTGGAATGAAACATTGTCGTATGACCTACCAGTTTGTTTCTTAATTTTTAAGATGGCGTTATTTCTGGAGCAAAGCTGTTTTTGAACAATCTCTAAAATTTTGTGTGTGTCGCAAATTTAACTTTCATAGTTCATAGATATAAAGCTTTGAGTCGGCAAAACCTGGTTATTTTGTTGCTTGCATTCGCATAAAATAATCTAATTTTCATAATTTAATTTTCCTTTAAATTGAATATAAAAAACAGTTAATGAAAGATTACTGCATGTGAAAATGTATTTCTATTTCCGTTTTGAAGCATATAAAGAAAAATAGGCACGGCTCCTACATAATATCAAATGAAGTTTTATTAAATAATAGCCGTGAATTCGAAATCTCAAGGCAATTTATGTTTTCATAAATTCTGTAATTAGGGTTACTTTACGCCCATTTACCGAGCACTTTCATTAGAAATAAAATGCTAATATTAATCTTCCTAAGAGCAGCGGGAAAAAGTGCCATACGATTAGATAAATACTTTCAAGATTACATTTAAAATGCAATAAACAAAGTATTCTTCATGCAGTTAATTCTACTAGACCGGAAAACATGAATGATTTTTTTTATCATAACATGTATATACACTGGTGTGCAAAAATTAAGGACGAGACGGTTTTTTCAATATAACTTTGTACAAAAGCTTTCCAAATCAACACATTTAATACCGTAAGATCCCCAATACGTAAGGACATGAGTAATGTAAGCAACACTTACTAAAAGAGAAATCAGAGGGATCAGCGCAATGCGACTGAAGGCCGAAACATCCCTGTGATGGGTGTCCAGCAAGAAACATCCGGTCTTTAATAGGGGATATGATCTCCCCTGACTGCTAGGCAGGTTTCACAGCGTCTGCCCATGCTGAGAATGAGGGTGTCAATGAGTTGTTGAGGCATTGCTGCCCATTCGTCTTGCAGCGCCAATCGAAGCTCCGGAATCGTTACTGGTGGTAAGGTACGAGCTGCCAAGCGTCTGCCTAGAAAATCCCATACATGCTCGATGGGATTGAGATCCGGAGATCGTGCCGGCCAATCCATACGTTCAATATCCTCACTCTCTAAGAGCTGTTCGGCAGCTACTGTGCGATGACATGGTGCATTGTCGTCCATGAAAAGGAACTGCGGACCCATAGCGCCTCTAAAAAGACGCACATATGGAAGAAGAATCTCGTTACAATAACGGGTCCCGTTGACTGAACCTGCGTCGAAGATGTGAAGGTCTGTACGACTACCAAGCATGATGCCTCCCCAAACGAGAACACCGCCACCTCCATACCTGTCCCTTTCAATGATGTTCGAGGGATGATTGCGGCTTCCCCGCTCTCTCCAGATGAGTATGCGATGAGAATCGCTACTCAGACTGAATCTGCTCTCATCTGTAAAGAGTACTCGTCCCCATTCATTGTCTCTCCAATTCCGGTGTTCCCGGCACCACAGAGAACGCCTTCTCCGATGGGCAGGCGTTAGAGGTACACACCGTACAGGGCGTCGTGCAAACAGACCACCACCGTGCAGTCTTCTGGCCACGGTAAAACGCGATATCGGTCGTCCAGTCGCCTGTGTCGTGTGTGTCTAGCGATTTCTCCCGCTGTCTGCCGCCTGTTTCTTCTGGCCTGTAAGGCAATATACCGGTCATCTGCGGGTGTGGTTCCTCGTGGACGACCACTACTAAACCCCCGGATAGCTGTTCCTGTAGTTTGAAATTGTCTCCAAAGTCGTGAAACGATGCTGTGAGCAATTCCGAACTCTGCAGCCACACTTGTCACACTGCGGCCTTCCTCCAACTTCCCAATGATTCGACCTCGGGTAAAAGCATCCAGATGTCGTCTAACAGATTGATTATTCGCCATTTCTCGCTGAGGCAGCAACTCGGTGTGATTTTAACTGCTATACGGCGTGCAATCTCTTTGCCAGAAATACTGATCTTACACCGACAACATGCTTTATACTACTCAGACACTCCCCCATTACGTCTACCTGCATATCTGCGCATGTGCTACCGTACATCACCTTACTTAATCTCCTGATTGGTCTTTCTGTCCGCTCTGCCTCTTCGTTCAGCTGATATGCTAATTTTTCGACTTCGTCCTTAATTTTGCCGGTATTGGAACTGATTTCTCGTAAAAGCTAAAAAGATTATTTTGTTCAAAATACTTATAACAATTTAAATTTATACAAATTATGATTAAAAATGTTAAAAACATCAATGAAACTTATATAACGTTTTTTGATAAATTATGAATATCTTGTGAATTTAATTTAGAATAATCTGAAACGTGTAATTTCCTTAGCTGATTTCAGAAATATATATTTGCGTGCAGAAAATTAAATATTTCGTCATATGGATCCTTATTTTTAATGTGCTGAATTATAACAATGAACATCTGAATAAAGAAATTCCAATTTTATTGGAGAAGTTGAAATTTTTTTCTTCTGCAAATTATGAAAACTCCTGGCATCCGGAAAAATGAGTAAAATTAATTGAAAATAAAAATGGCTCTTTGTAATGTTTTCTGTTGCTTCCAAATCTCTGAAATGTAGGTAGGTTTCATAGAAATAGAAGTCCTTTGAGAACATTTATGCTTGATTATAAGATTTTCAATTAAAATAAAAATTAAGATTGCTAGTACATGCTACAATTTTCTTCTGCTGATTGCACATTTCACAGGATTGTTTTTAACTCATACCGCAGTCTGCATACTTCGCGGAAGTTCATTTCTAAGGATTAAGTGAATTCGTTTTCACGTTGTTACGACCTTTGTAAACCATTGCTTTGGTCCCCAAAGATTTCATTTCTGCATCTATCATTTACTAACTTCACATCCTATAAAACGTTTCTAACACAAACTTCTGAACTTTCGTTTATTTTACTTTACGCGATTATGCTTTTAAATACCGTCTATTAAAAATCAAAAATTTCCTTTTACTAATAATAATGCATATATAATAATTTATATTGTGAATTGTATGTGCAGGGTTTTCTTTCGTAGCATTTTGAAGTAAAAACTCTCGACTTCATTCGTTTACGAAATGGGAGAGCGAAAGGTAAAAATTTCACAGCTTCAGGCCAGAAACACGTAATTTGATACCTAATATCGGAGTTTTAGCAGTTCCCGTAATCTAATAGACATTTTATAACAGTAACATACGTAGTAGCTACTAACATACGTCTTATAATCATCTATTTAACAATCAAACCTATAAGGATTTATTTAGAAAGAACATTTTCTCTTGCAGGCATAATTTGCATCAAATTTAATCACGACTATACAATTTACGTTCATATAATTGGCTACATGGAATGAGCTAAAAAACCTCAACATATATTTTATTTTCCTAATACCTTTCACATGAATACTATGTAATAATAAAAAGCTTCTAATTATATAATGTGTGCAAAGTAGATATTGCTGTTTCTCTTTCAAAATTAACTATATTAAATCTTTAGAAATGAAATAAATTTTTGATTTCATTTATCTTCTTAAAATCTTAGTCATTACCAAGAATTACGAGCTCTTTATTTTTGTTCTTTCTATTTTATCTGATATGTTAGTAAATAAAATATTATTGCCCTTTTTTTACTGTAGTTATTGTTCCAAACAATGGTTATTTATATTACCGTCATAAGTATATTTCTTCGGTATTACCGGTATTGGCAAAACTCTTTACCATTTCAATCCCTAGCCCTTACCATGCGTCTTCTAGAAAGTTTACTTCCTCAATAAGTACTTATTAGGTATTCTTTGCCTGCTTACTTTTATGTTAAGTATTGACATGTTAAATATTCTTTGCCTGCTTGCTTCTATAAGTATTCTGTGCGTACTCATTTGTAAACATATATCTAATGCCATAGACGTAGCGATGAATAGATATGGGGGTTGCAACACCCCCCCATAAAAATTGCTGTATACTGAAATTTTAAGACCGCCCGGTGGCGAACTGGCTATCGCGCCGCGCATCTCCGCCACAGGTCCGGTGTTCGATCCCTGGGTTGGGCAAGGTTTACTCAGCCTTTCATCCCTTGAGTGAGTCAATAAATTGAGTACCAAGTTCGCTTAAGGAGAAAACGCCAGGGCTCCTGCGACACGCTGACCACTTGCCCAGGGCATATGCTGATGCACTAAAGGGCCTAAGATCGAGAAAGCAGATTTCGGGGCACTGCAGGCCGTGGGCCACTAGTGCTATTGCGCCACTGAGTTTAGTTTACTGAAATTTTAAACTGATCACTTTTAATAAATTAAAATTTTTATTTTAATATAAATGAAATATA